AAAAAAAAACTTTTAACTTTTTAAAATTATACGGTAAACTACTGAATTTCATTGTTTTTAGTATTACACATCAATGTTTAGATAATGTTTAGACAAAAACAAAACCGTACGCATACAGGGACGTAGGTAATCACCTTTAGAGATACTTGAGTTTTAGCTGATGGAAAAAAAATAAAATAAAAAAAAAAACGGTCAAAAACCATGTGCTAAAGGTTTGTGTAATGCAATATAGAAAATTCAGTGAATTGCCCCGATAATATGTTAAATAAATGCAAAAAAAAAAAAAAAAATACAAAAAAATGTTAATCATATTAATATAATCTACCACTAATGATCAATATGCAATAGATTTGCTAAAAAATGTATACATTTTTTGCATACACTTAGTATGTTAGCATAGTCAGCTCTGATCCATTAAAAACAATTATTAGTAATATTAGAAATTAGGATAAGAATTTGCCTAATTCTGATAGCCTTGTTTACATTAAAAAAATTCTAAACCTGCATACTTTTAATGCTGTGAAATTTTTTTCCACATGGTATTGAAAATGGTATTGAGTATCGATATTTTTCAATGTAACATATCAAAGTTAGAAACTGCATTATCGTGACTGGAGAAGATTGAAAATATGTTTAATTCTGATAGTCTTGTTTACATTAAAAAAAATCTAAATTTCCATAATTGTAATGGTGTGGAATTTTTTCCACGTTATCGGAAATGGTATTAGTACCATTAGATATTTTTCAAGGTATTGTATTATAGTTAAAAACTGTATTATCGTGACTGGAGAAGACTAAAAATATATTTAATTCTAATAGCCTTGTTTACATTTTTAAAAAATCAAAATTTTCATAATTGTAATGTTGTGGTATTTTTATTTCACATTGTATGGAAAATGGTATTGAGTATCAATATTTTTTAAAGTATCGTATCGAAGTTAGAAATCGCATTATTGTGACTGGAGAAGATTGAAATATTTTTAATTCCGATAGCCTTGTTTACATTTAAAAATTTACATACTTGTAATGTTGTAAAAAAATGTTATTAAAAATAATATAGAATTTTGATATTTTTCAAGGTATCATATCGAAGTTAGAAATTCCAGTATCGTGACAACATTACTGTATATATTAGGGAAACTTACAGTTTAATAATGTATAGTTTTTTCAATAATTTTCCAAAACATTTTTACAGTTATTTTTAACGATTGAAATCATGGTTATTTAAAACATTTCATTTTAATAAGTGTTACTCCCATAATTCATGCAAAGCGTCAAGAAAGATTTGAAAAAGGTAAACATATAAACTTCAAACAGCTGCCATTGAATTTTTGCTCATCACGTCAAACATGTTTGAGACTTCCTGGCGGTGAGAACAACTCTTCACTTCAGCAGCTGGTGCATCAGAGGACATGCGGCTCCACTGGGACACCAGTCTAACATGGAGGATGGAGGCTGATGGATGAGACAACATGTTCTCCACCGTTTCCCTCTCAGGAGCTTTACGATCACGGATAGCTCATGTCGAGAGCATGAAAAGCAGTGGACCGATGATCTGACGCAACAGACCCACCAAAAACTGCTGGATTCTCATGTCTATAGTTTATTAGGCTAACACTTCATTTCCACATGAATTCTGCAGGTGACTGGGTTAAAAACATTAACTAATACTTATCTCCATTATTCCCCAGTTGATCGATTACATCTGTTGCAAATGTTATCGCATCTGATGCAAACGTTGCTTAAATATGGAAATGAAGCAGCGTTTTATTAAATAGTTGCTAATTTGCATAGCTTTCTAGCACAGCAATCTGAACATTAAATGAAGTCAGGTTTAAACTTCTAGTTTTTTAAACATATTAGTCTATTTTACAGAGCAGATTTTGCAAATTTGTATAATGAAGGGAATATAATCAGGTAAATTATATATGAATGTGAAAAACTCCAGAATACAGATTAACTGTGCATGTATGTAAAGGCTGCTGAAATGGAGGAGAAAAACACATTTCAAGAACTAAAATGGCTTTATAAATGGTTATAATAATTGAAACCTACAGACAAATTGATTAAAGGCGATAGAGGTAACATTTAAAAGTGGATTATGTTATTTTTTACTTTACTGTAGACTGGAAAAAACACATTTAATCACAAGCAAAAAAGCCCAAAATCTCAAAACTGACAGGTAAACAAATAAAAAACCTGCAGTGCCTCATCTTAAAGGAATAGTTCACCCAGAAATGAATATACTCACACTTAAAGGGTTCCAAACCTTTATGAGTTTCTTCTATTGGACAGACAAAAAAAAAAAAAAAAAAAAAAAATTATATATATATATAAATGATAGTCAATGATATTCAAATTAGAAAAAAATGCTATGGAAATTTATGGCAACCAAATTTGAACACTTGATGTCTATATATTTTGTGTGTGTTCAACAGAAGAAAAAAATAGGTTTGAAATAAGTGAAGAGGGAGTAAATGATGACAGAATTTCCATTTCTGGCTGAACTACCTCTTTAAACGTATTATTTACTTATTTATCCTATTTGTCGCGCTCTTGTTTATTTGTTAGTTCTGTCACTGTTGACGATCTGTGACCCATTTTCAAATTAACAGTCTTCAGATGTGAGGAAAGCTCATCAGCAATGTTAATTAGAGAATGCGTTTCAACTCTGCCGTTGTGGTCGGGCTCCCGAGTCTGTGGCGAGTGATTAATAATTCCCTCAGTTGTTGTGTACGTGACGTGTTCTGAGTTTCTACAAGCCAGAGAGAGCATGTGCAGTGACATATAACATAGAAGGACACTCCTAAGACTGCAGCACAATGGTGACATCAGTCTAATGTTAAAAAAAGAAACAATGAAACTAGTAGACGTACATTTGAATGACGCAATGCTGTTGGAGTAGGGTGAGATTCTTTGGATGAGTGAATGTATGTGGTTATCCAAGCAAAATTTATTTAAATTGACTAAAAACATATTGATTTATATAAACATTAACTGAAGCATGAAGATTATGAGATTCTTTAATTCTAGCTAGTTGCCAAATTAATTTTAAAGAAAGAAAATGCATTTAAAATTCAAATCATAAAATATTTCCAGAAGTGTCGCCATTGTGAGACAAATGTCAGTTTTTAGTTTCCAACCTGTCTCATCCCTGTTTTGTGTCCCATATTACAAAGTTTCTGGAACATAATATTTCCATAAAATGTTTTTTTCATTAACATTAGATGTTACGATTGAACCAGATATATATTAATTATATTTGGAGTTTCTAAAGAATTTCTGAGACTTATATGGGTTCAATCACAGTTTGTTTCATACTGTATGGGTTGATCTCTGCCAAAAAAACGCATCCTTTTGTTTTGGAAGAAAAAAGAAACTGGTTAAGGTTATCCATAAATTGGTTAAGGGAATGCATGCTTAATTTTTGTTTAATTATTGTTTTTATGACTGTTGGTTGTTTTTTCTCTTTTTTTGAATGTCTAATTGTTTAAATGTAAGTTTTATGTTTGTATTTAAAAAAAAATATTTACAAGTGAATGTCTGCTAAAATTTCTAATAATAAAAATATTTAAACCACCACAAAATTCAAATCAAATCCAAAAACAGAACGAAAATTATTATAAATCATACTGATGATAACAACTACAATAGTAGCTTAATTACAAGATGACATAATGCTTTCAGAAAAAATAAGATACAGTTTTTGATATAGTTTAAAACCATTTTTATATAGTTTTATATAGTTATATATTTTTGATATAGTTTAAAACCATTAGCATTGTTATTCTAGTTTTTAGTGTCACCTTGTCAAAAAAACAAAAAGTTAATTATTTTTAAATATTTAATTTTCAAATATATAGTACATGTGAATTTATATGGATTTTTAAAGCTAGCTAAACCTATATATTTATTTAGTTTTTTTAAGGCAGTGCTTCCACAGGTTTTAAATATAAATGTGGTGGTAGCCGGATTAAAACACACCATTTACCCACATCACATAAATAGTAAACTATATACGACACACAAAACATAATTTAGTTTTTAACAATATTTTGTTTATTACTCTCATATGCTGTTTCTTTTCGATGGGTTAAAGTAAAAAAAAAAGTCTAAACAAAAAAGAAACCCACAAATTCTCTTACTTTTATACTATTCAGAAGCCATGTGCACCCACTGACAGGTAAAATCTGCTTCTCTTGAATGCCAAAGCATTTTATATACGTATACAGTATTAAATAGTCTATGTGATATATTAACATAATCAAATTTATAAAATATACAGCAAATGAGAAATAAATTACAGAAAAAAAATAAAAACAGACAGTATCTTTTAAAAATTATAATAATTACAAGATTAAAATATTTAGTATTTTTAAATAAGGCAAATGTGTTGATTAACCATTATGGTGTACATATATTTGTCCTCTCCAAGTAGCTTATATAGTAAAGTTTGAATTATTTAATGTTTCTCGCACTCTCTCAAAAAAATGCATATGATTAACCAACAACAGCTTTAGAAAGTGAAAGCAAAGCAAAATCCCAGACATTTTAGGATATTTAGAAACCACAGCCATGCAGGCAATTTTTTTTAAGCCCCAAAAAGGTACATCTCTCTAGGTATGCAAAGCATGTGAGATGAAATGGGTAAATAAAAGAAGATGTTCCACTACTTAATCGATCTTGGATGTTTGGTTATATTTTGGCAAATAGAAGAAAGTTTAAAAGATGATAATAATAATAAAAAAAAATGTCACTAAATACACTTGGGCAGCCTTTAATGCCATAAATATTTTTTATACAAAAATAAACTTGTTAGATATACCTGAAATCATAGTGAATACATTCAGAGGATTAACTGCAAGGTCATATCTTTCCATCATCCCAAAAGTCAACGAATACACAGAACACAGCGTAACCAAACAGCGATTAAATTACAGGCATAATTCTGGATGGAACAATTTGATTTTTTCCGAGGAGCAATTGTTCAAATCTCTTACCTCTTTCAAGCAGCCCATAAAGTTGTTGCTGACAGGTGATCCAGGAAGATCGGCAGTGCTGGGACTACCGCCGACATAGAAAAAGTCATCCGAGCCTAGCATGGTGTAGTCCTCTTGCGTATATCCAGTGGTGGTCAGAATCCCATCCACGGATATTGTAACCTAGACAACAAAGCACAGGGAAAGGACACGCTATACTCACATATAACTTCAATACTGTTACAGGGCTTTGGTCCCCCTCGTAAGGATTTGAATGCTTGGATTTGTTTAGATTTCTTTTTCCTTTTGTTCTTATTTATTTATTTGCTTTTCTCTTTTTATTGATTTCAAATGTGAACCCATTTTCATGTCTGTTTCAGAAAATCTTATTTGTTACTGGTTTAACTTTCTAGATTGATGTGTTTAACTTCTAGTAAAGCCATCTGAGGAAGTCTGCGGCACATTAGCCCAGGCTCAAAGTTAGCGGTGCCACTTAAATCGAGCACACAAAAGTAAATCAGCAGACACAAAAATGGTGTTAGTAGTATGTGTGTTATTGAGAGTTAGTATCGCTTGAATCCAGTGCGTGTGAGTAGTTTTCAGCAGTTTTCAATGTTGTTTGTATGAGGAAAAACAAAGGACACAGCGTGCTAAGAGGTTAGAAATGAAAGCACAAGCAAATATATCTCACAGATCTGGTTGAATGGACGCATGCTTCGTTATCCCTCCCTCTCGGCATGCAAAACAATGCTTGGTTAGAGAGAACAAATCGTCTCACAGGTTAGATGAGTGTTAGAGAAAGAGAGAGAGAGAGAGAGAAGGGGAGGGAGAAGGACACAAACACCACGGACAGACGGACGCAGCTCATGAGAAGACCAATCACAGTAGAGGTGCCGCATGCAGAAGCGTGTTTACATGAGAAAGAAAGCAGACGGGATGACCGGCCACCCATGCCAGCCTCAAATGTTACTGATGGAGCAGAGGTGTTAGTACACGGGGTGGCCAGGATGCACACCATGCTGAACAACGGGGCCTCAAAGCTAGCTGGACCAATGAAAAGGCTCAGAGCCAGCCAGCCGAGACCATTCGGTGGTGAGCAAAACCTTATGCAAAAGAACCCAGGAAACCAAAAAGATGCAAGATAACCTAACAAAAGTCAAAGGAAAGGACAAAAGAAAACGATGGACGGGACAAAAAGAGCTGAGGAAACCCAACTAATGAAAAGAAAAGAAAGGAAAAGGGGAATTTGGGCAGGGCAGGGGAAGTAAGCGTAAAGAGTACCAACCGCATTTTCCCCCTTTTTTTGTTTAGTATTGATGTCTACGATTCAAAAAAAGGAAAATAGACACACGGCAAACCCAAACTAAGAAACAATTAGAATGATATCTACCGAACAATGTAGTTTGTTTACCATAGCGTGTCCAATGCCTGAGTGCTTTGTGGAAAAGGGGGGAGAAAGGAAATTAAAAAACTGTGAACAGAACACCGTTCCTCAATCAAAAAAGATGGTCTCTTGCCAAAGGTTAGTACATCAGCGTTGCACGTTAGTAAGAGGTAACAGGTTAGTAAATGACACATTCCATGGATGAAAGGTTAGTTTCTTTCCCCAAAAGCAGGTTAGTAAACATTTAAAAAGGGCAAAAGAAGAGAAGGAAAGGAGAAGCAGACGAGATCTGCACCGTGGAGTTCCTCTGGGACGAATCTAGTCTACTCTAGTCTCTTCCTATTCCTGGCACTCTGCTAACTTTACTGATGACAGAACGCACCACTGAGCTTTTTATGTTTACTGCCTGTCCTATCCAACTCTGTGCCACACTGCTCGGATCTTTCCCGAGTCTTGACACTTCAAACGCTGACAGCTGACATACTCATGTAACCTAGTCAGAGGTGGCGCTATCAAACGGTGACAGTAAAATATGGATACGCTTGCATTTAAATATTAGTCAAGGAGAACAGGGTTATTGGTACGTTCAGTCATGTATGAAAGCTCAATTCATTCACATATACATTAACATTTCTATATTAAGAATTCTACTCTATGCTGCATACATGAGTGCCTAGAACCTTCTCACAACCTTCAAACCCATCAACTATGCTTGCATGTCTTGATTAAAGAGTGTTAAATTTAGATTGAAGAATTAGTTTGGTGCTACTAATCGGAATGTATCCAATCTCCAACTTTGCCTTTTCTGCGCGGTTACCTGACGAAGGTTCCTGGTAACCTTCACATCATGCCAGGCATTGTCATTAAATTTCCCATTGACGGGCTCCACCAGGGCCTCGAAGGCCCCAGAGCCCAGGTTGATGACCAGCGAGACGGCTCCGTTCTTCAGCGCCAGGTTGACGTAGTCTGCAGACTTTCCGGTGTGAAGCATCAGTCCATTGCGCTGCAGGGTCTTGAAGGAGAGCGTAATCTCATCGCTACTGCTCTGGATGGGGTTCGGGGACAGATCGTAACAGAAATACTCCGAACCCTTGAATGTGGCCATATATTCTTCTCTCTCTGCAAATACATAAAGAAAAAACAAAGTACGTAAGCTGAGGGTGATCAATGATTTAAAATTTCATTCTACAACAACATTAAACTCAAACCACTGGCTAAAGCAGTCTAAAAAGGTCTACTCACACCTCAAAACATCCCTTTAGAAATCAGTTTGTCTTTTATAAACATTGAAACTTAACCATATCTGTTTGAAATATAAAAACAAATGTTGTTGGTTTTTACCAATCAAGCAAGAATGCTTAAGCTTACATGACCAAATATAAACACTGTATACAGATCACATTACTGAATAAACTTTAAATATATACATAGTGTCTTATTTTATAAACCACTACAGAATAATTGGAGTAAATGGCCAATTTTATGTTTTCTATAGAAATGTTTTAAAGCATTAGAGTTTTACAGTTTTAGAGGTGAACAGACGTTCACTGGAGGGACAAAATTGAACAGTTTTGATTAAAAATATCTTCATTTATGTTTCCACAAGAAAGTAAGCAAAAACATAGCAATTTTCCAGTTTCATACAAAACTAGCAAAGCAATACAGTGCAATGTAAATGAAAAAAAAAAACTAATTGGAAAGATGAGCAAATACAGGAGTCAGTGACATGATGTTATTAATCTGTCTATTTATTCAAAAACACAACAAAATGCCATTTATGAACTTGAACATCTTAATTTGAACAAGTGAAAGTAAAAAAAAGTCAGGGTAATGCAACATAATATTGATTACAACTTACTTAACCCAACATTATTTGTCAAAATATAAAATGCCATTTATGAACTTGAACATCTTGATTTGAACAAGTGAAAGTAAAAAAAGTCAGGGTAATGCAACTTAATATTGATTACAACTTACTTAACCCAACATTATTTGTCAAAATATTACTATTTCTTAGAGGAAAAACTGTATATGAATATTTGAAAGCATCCACTAAACCAGAGATGCCCAAGCCAGGGCGCAATGTTGGCCCATGGTAACTCTTGATTTGACCCACCATCCCATCTGAGAAAAGGTGAGTGATGGGGATGGTTTAGAGAAAGTCATTTTAAATCTAATGCAATCTTTCGTTTGTTTGTTTAATCGTTAAAAGCTAACTTAAAATAATGTTTTAATTAAATGGTGTAAATTCATCAGATTTAGTTTAAATATATTGATCAGCAATTTATTACATGTTAGCAAATATGAGCAAAACATTGAGGAAACACCTTCACTTTCCACAGCTTCGAGTCTTTTGGCTTCATAATTGGCCACTACTGAGATTGAAGCTCGGCTGTCCCCTACTGAATTTCCCTGAGTACTGCAGCTAACCGCGGTTAGTCATGGCATTCTGAAACACGCATTTCTAAAGGCCACATATGTACATATTGTCACCTGACAAATCAAAGCAGAGGCAGATTCTGCATGAATAGTTTGTTTAGTATAGGACTCCACTTTGTTGTAAATGAGATTGTTTTTATAATAATAAGTTATAATTTTGAATGTTTTACTGCATTAGTTGATATGATCAAAAGTAACTTTTTCCAATAAATCAGGAAATTAACCATGGCATCTTTAATGTAATATAGTTTGTTAGCCCACGGCTCTTAGTAATATTTGATTTTTAAACCCTTAATAAGAAAAAAAGTTTGGGCATCCATGCACTAAATCAACAACAGCAATGAAGCCCGACCAAAATGTGCAAGAAATAATGGAAATGATGTGAGAGTAAAGATCCACGAGAACCATATGACTGTTGTCAAGATTAATAAATCTCTTAAAATATCAGATCGTTTGAACTTATTATAAGGCTAGGTATAGTTCAGGTTGCAAAATGCCATGTGGAACTGCAGTCCCAGACCTTGATATTTATGAAATTATAATTCATGACATTTAAAATAAAAATGCTTTTGTAGCTTGAAAAAAATACATTAAATATGCAAAAATATGTTCATATTTTGTAGCATTCCATGACTTTTTTAAAATGCAACCATATTTTACAAATCAAAACACATAAATCCTTATTCGGATGCTCATTTACAGTATGTCATTGACCCTAAATGAGTACATGTAGCCTTTCATCCCACCTCACTTACCTTCCATCCACTGGCTCCCAAGCTTACAGAACACAAGACTTGCTATTTTTAAATTACCCACCTGTACAGAGCCAAAATCCAGCCTGAAGTCGCACCAAAGAGTTCAAACGCAGCGGAAACTCACCACAATCAATCAGAGAGTGATTGGTTGCTGTCAGTACACACGCACACACCTATGAGATTGAGGTCAGAGCCATCTTGCTCATAAATGAGAACCAAGGTCCTTGATAATGGTGACCATAAATAAAGCAGCCACACATATCAGGACATAATTACCAAATCAGTCAGCGAGACCCATTACTGTAAGCGCGCTGGCACAAAACCCAGGCACGCACACACTCTCACTCCTCTTCCCATTTGCGCAAACAGCTCCGACTGTCACCCAGATCTGAGTGTATTTTGGGAACTTGGTTAAAATATTAACTGAAGAGGCAGCCATTAATAACGTGTGAAGTTTTATCTCCACAGCTACCTTTTTCTTACCGGTAAACACAATTAGATTATTACGGAGCAGAGCCAAGTCTAGTTCTCATCAAGAATATTAATGCCATTACCAGGCAATTTACAGCAAGATTGAACCGAATTAGCATAAATCTAGGAATCTGCAACACAATTAACCTAACACACTATAAGAGCAGCTCATTTGCTCTGGAATTATCTGGAATATTCTTATGATAAACCCTGGAGATATCAACAAGGCTCATTTACTCCATCTCTTTCTCCATCCTTCATCACCCGGCCCGTGTCCACTGCGAGTTAAATAAGCTTTTTTTTTTTCTTGCCTCGGCTGATGAAGTGTGTATGTGTGTGTTTGTGCACAAAGAGCCAAAGGGTGGTGCTGTATCTGGCATTCTTCCACCTCCTCTATATACCACTGAGTCAGCTATAATGTGACTCAGTGCAGGAAGGCGCCCACAGAGTAGCAGGCTTTTGAGCCAACACGCACACACACACACACATCGTTTCACACAGGTATATATATTGGTTGCCCAGAATAACTACAAAATGGCCTTCAAATCCCCATTCTCATGCCAGTAACGGAGTGTTTTATGAGTATTTCGCCGCCATCGGTGTCCGTTGCGACTCGCTCATCAGATTTGATCTCTGCAAATACTCTTACGGGAAATCAGATCTTCATCTTCAAGAGCAAATAACCAGGAAAGCTCATTTAAATACAGCATTAAACCATCCATTGGATAAAAGTGACCTCCAATCACTCCTTTGCTCAGTAGCACATAGCAATTTGCTCAGATTTCTGCTTAACATCATACATATTTTCCGCTCGTGTTCTAAAAAGCCATGTCCTACCTGTTTTTGTCATTAATTTTAGGCTGTTTACACCACCCTTGGTTAAGGTTATTTTCTCTAACCGCCACTGCTCAGATAATTTACCTTTCATACAAACAGTAAATTATCTTCCATTTGCTGTTTTCGCTAACAAGATGCCATTTGTTGCCATTTATGCACATGTCATGGAAACTATATGTAGTAGTACCTTTATTTACACTCATGTAGAGCACTTTTTCACTTATTTACGTTACTCAATTTTCTAGCTTCAGGAACAGCTGTAATTTAATATTGAGTTCATTTTTCAACCATATTTCACAGCCTGTTTTTGATTGGTTAGACTTGTTGCATTTGGAATGAGTAACATGGCTTGTGCATTTGCTGTCAGGCTCAATATAATTGGCATTCCCGTATCTTTGAAAAACTGCCTTTTTGTAAACAATCCACACCCACTCAAGCTCTTTTGTTTGCCACTCTAGTTTTTTTTTTCTCAATACTGGCTGACATCAACTGCTGTATTTTTTGTCACTTTAAGATGTATACATCAGTGATGACCATTTTCCTTTTTGGAATATTAATGATAAAGATGGTTTCCAGATACCAAGCAGATGGTATATTATCAACAGAAACAGAGATGTAGCTGATATCATTGTTTTTAAATTTTAATATTCAGTCAGTGGCATTTTAATAACGTTGCAGTGGATGCAGTTGATTGTCTTTACAAGATCTATCTTTTCATAGATCTATTTATCTGTCTGCCTAGCATATATGTATTACACACATACTTTCTATCAAACTGAACTGAACTTAAACTTTGAAAACTGAACTGACAATTCAAATTCACTATAATCTTCTATGTGAAGCTGCTTTGACACAATCTACATTGTAAAAGCGCTTAAGAAATAAAGATGAATTAAATTGTATTGAATTGAACTTGCATGTGCGGTTTACAAGGATTCTCTACATGTGTAATGCATTTTACACTGTAAAAAAAAAAAACACTTATTGTATTACTTTACACTATTCCAACCCATAAACTTAACCCTTAAAGGAAACCTGTGGAAAGTTTTGAATGTCAAAAGACCCTGGTAAGTTTTTAGGGAAGTTTATTTATAAACTAATGTCGAAAGGATCGCGTGCTTATGATTGCTTGCGGCTGGTCCCGCATTATTAAATTTATGATTCACCAATCAGACGATTCCTAAGCCACGATAAATACCCTAAGTCATATAACAGCCATCTTCAATTTGAAGAATCTCCCCTTCCACCCTTACTCCTCCTCCTTTCCTAGATGGGTGGCATGGTGGCACAGGGGTTAGCACCATTGCCTCAGCAAGGACGTCACTGATTCAAGTCCTTACCAAGCCAGCTGACATTTCAGTGCAGAGTTTACATGTTCTCCCCGTGCTCACGTGGGTTTCCCCTGGGTTGCCCGGTTTCTTTCCAGCGTCTAAAAACATGCAACTTAAGTTTTTGACTAATCCAAATCTGCACAAAATATATACACCTAGTTAGTAGTTATCTCTTAATCTGTTGATCAGCTACTACAGCAGAGGAGTTCTCGAGATCTATGTGAGCTCAAAGTCCCCTCTCGCCCTGTGAACGAGAGGGAGCTCCAGGGTCGAGGATCATGGGGCT